GGTAGAGCCTCCATCCAAACCCAAACTTGCCACCAATGGACTGTGACACCTCCGGCAAGAAGCCTCCTGCTTCTGCTTTCTGTCCAGTTGTGACAGCCCTGCACGATAGCCTGGCATGAGTTTCTACAAGCCTGTCCACATGGACAGAGCAATGAGGCGGTGAGTCAAGGATGCATTTCCATGGCAACAGGCAGCATGCTCAGGGTGAACTCTCAGTAGTCAGCTGGTAGCCATCTTCCCAGCGCTGTGGAGACCCTGACACCTTGTGTACCCCCTAATGACACGTGGACACCTGTCCTGTTCAGCCCCACAGCTCCAGAGTGAGACTCAGAGTGCTCAGCTCCACGCAGCTGTGGAGGCCATCTGGCCACTGCCCCCATCCATATCAGACTCACCGGGAGCTTGCTTCTCTCCGCAAGGAGCAGGGTTTTTTATTGTTTGTTTCTGGCAGAGCCTGTGCCCATTTCATTTTTCGAGACAAGATCTCACGAAGCCACTATGTTGTCCAGGCTGGGATCAAACTCACATCCTCTTGTCTCAGCCTCCCGGAGTGCATTGGTGGTTTTTTAACTGTTACATATTCAACGTGAAAGCCACCTCCACCCCAGAGGGGACTCATCATGCGGCAAGGGCTGAGCCACGCTGACTGTTAGGCACACACATCAGGCTGTCCCTCGTGTCCTGGACAGATGTTCTCAGAGCTTCTCCAGGCCTGAACGTCGTCCTGGAGAGGCGACAGCCCCTGTGCCCTGCACACTGAGACCCCCACGTATCCAGGAATACCAGGCTCTCACATACACGCTTCTAGCCTGTCTTTCAAGGTCATCTCGACCTGGGTCAGCTTTCCACCTCACTGTTGGACACACTGAGCAACCTCTTCAGCCCAGACACCTCTACCGAGAAATGTTTGCCCGCTGTGTTAAGAGTTGTCTTTACCAACTTCAGTTTCCTAACAAATCCAGCAGCGTCTTACCACAGTATCACTCTTGGAGACAATCCCTGCTCTGGGGCAGTATCATTGTTACCACAAGCTGTGCTTTCTCCCTCTGAACCCAGGGCTCCCCAGATTATGGTCACTGGGACAGCAGGCTGGCACCGTGCGTGGGACAGAGGTGTTCAGGGAGGTGAGTTCAGGGTGTCAGGTGCTGGCTGAGGCTCTTGTGTCCTGCTCCACTGACATTCTTGAGCCACCAGCTAAGCTGGGCCTCTTCCTGCACAGGGAGCCTTGGCTGGGCTCCCCCATCTCAGGGTGGTCTCCACCAGCACTGCTCGCTTTGTCTCCTAAGTGAGACTGAGCTGCCTGCTTCAGCCTTCTGTGTGCAGTCTGGTCTCGCAACTACAGTGTGGGAGGACAAAGCCAGGTGGGTGCCAGGATCCAGCCAAGACTGTGCCAGGGGCTGGGTGGACAGTGGGTGGAAAGGATCCTAGATCTTGGCTAGAGAACCAGGTGTCAGGAGGGCTTGCCACAGCTGCGACACTTTTACAACCCCAAAGTTGATGATGTCTCTTTATTGCCTGTGCCAACTAATCACCAGAGTGCTTGTGATGGAGACCACTGCGACACAGCTCCGAGCAAGACTTAAATTAATCAGTTGGCTTTCCATGTTTACTTGTGAGTCTGTTCAAGACCTTGGCCCTTGCCTGGGCAGTGGACTCATAGTGAGTGAGCCTCTGTGCGTCACTGGTCCCACTGAGGCCTGGAACAGTGGGTGAACCCTTGACACCTCAAAGGACAAGACAAGACACAGCTAAGGACAGCTGACTCCAACCTAAACCAACTAGATAAAGACACCTCACTCCTGGGTGAAGACCTTCCCGGAGATAACTTAGCTCTCCTAAATGACATAATGTCTTACTTGGAGAAGTCCTTGAGCAGTTCTTTCTTCAGTATTTCCTTCCTTCCTTTTTTTGATAACTAAATAAGTACAGGGGCCACCCAGAGAAGAGTTTTGTCTTAAGCCCCCAAAGAATCTCAAATTCTGTTAGAGGGTTTTGATCTTCCTGGCACCCTAAAATCATACCACTTGACTCATTTATTTAAGCCTTCACTGTATGCTGCTTTGGGAGATTTTGGGCCTGATCAGTCTGTAATAACTAAGGAATATTATTAACATATTAATCTAGAAATAAGGATCTCAGATTAGGAGATTAGTGAGTGGTGACCAGGGCCTGGGTTGGGACATCAGGGACACGTTGGTTGGTACACAGGATACAAAGGGACTGCTGAATGTCAGGTATCCCACATGATGGGAGACAAGGCTAAGTGGGGAATTGAGCCCAGCGCTGTCAGGCCTCTTATTCCTTCCAGATGATACCCTGGGACAGTCCCACCAGGGCTGGCAATTTCTCCCAGCAGGTTGACCCAGTGGCAGAGGATGGTGCTCCCAGGACTCCAGCCCCTGCAGCCTGTGGTGCTGTCCTGGACCATCAGACTATACAGAAGACAGAACAGCCGGGTGGGATCACGTCCTCCACACCCCATGGACCATGGCATCCCCTCCTGTGAGCGCTGAGTCACAGGCCTCCGTCAGTAGCCTCTTAGCCTCTGGTCATGCTTGACCTTGGAGTCTCACACTCACTTTTCTGGAGTCCCAGGTCTCTGCAGCCTTCTTCCTCCATCCCAAATGCTGCTGGCATGCACTGAGCATGCTCAGCGTGCTGGGAGACACCTGGCACGGACAGAAAGCAGGACACACTTGCTGGGACAGTGAGAACCCCGCCCCCCAGCCCCAGGCATGCAGCCCGCAGAGTCTCTTAGCACCCAGACTTGCTCAGAGCAACTGAGCACACCTCAGTGTAATCAGGATTTCTAAGTACAGTATTCCCCCACTATTTTGCAGTTGGACTTTCATGGACTCACTGTTTCACAGGTTTTCAAAAATATTAATCTAAATAATTTATGGCGGAGTTTTTGCCATATCTCAGGATTTGGAAGTACTGTACAATATATGTATGTTGTTAAACTTACGTAGGTTTACTAGTTTAAAAATGGCTAAGAACATTAGAAGTGTTTTTAAAGGTGTGGGGAGGTTTATAGAGTTCAGGGTCTATAAAGCCTTAAAATACAAATACTAAAATATAACGTTGCTGCGTCGCTGATGTTTACTTATTGTGGAATGTCTGTAACTTCTGCGACAGTGAGGGAACACTGTGTTGTTCAATTTTCATGCCACGGTTTGGCGAATTGTGCAGTTATCGGACATCTCTAACAGTACTCAGAACAAAAGGCACGGGCTCGACCACTTGGAGGACTTCGTTTCCCTGGAGCATCAGAAAGGCTGTACAGCTCTTCTGGGGACACAACTGTGGGAACACATTCTGTCCTTGGTCCTCCCAGGGGTGAGCATCCTAGAAGGGGACCGGCCCTTCCCCTGACCTGGAGAGGACAGTAAGGTGGGGATGTCCCCGCCCTCTCGCTGGCCTGCCTGTCATGTGCTGGTGACACAGATTGCAGATCTTCAGTCAGTTAGTCAAGGTTGGGGGCTGGGTAGGAGAGTTCGGGGTGAGTGTGGCCCTGGATGGACTGTCTCAGGGCAGAGCCTATGGGATACCATGCAAGAGGTGGTCCCAAGACTTGTCTTCAAAAGGGGACATCCCTCCCATGTGCCACTGGGGGATTCCCACCTTAAATACTGTACACAGCGTGGGGTGAGGCCCTGCCTCTGGGGCTGGAAAGAGACAGTACACACAGCTTATATAAAGGCCCCGTGGCAGGCTGGGAGAGGAAGGTTGAAGAGGGCAGTGTACTATGATGGAAGTTGACTGGTAAGACGCTAGGATCTGCATTGTCCGCCACTGGAGGGGGCTGGGACGCACTGACTTGGTGACCCAGGATACTTGGAATGGAAGCGTGTGTGGGCATGGGGCGTGGCGGGCGCCAGGGGTCTCTGCACTGGAGGTGCCACCTCTGGAAGACCCTACATAGGGGCTATCTCTCCATTGGACTCTGGCGCAGGGACTTCCTAGCCGACATCTTCTGAGGTCAAGCCTCAGCCTGATCTACGTTTTTTTAAAACGCACAGATGACCAGACGGTCTCCAACCCCACCGTTAGCGCTCAGAGTGAAGGTCGGCACTCCCCGCGCTCGCGACCCCAGGGGTGCGGTCGGTACAGGTGGGGCGGGCGGGAGCGCGGCCTCAGCCGCCCGCGTTGCCCTGCGCACCGCGGCTCCGGCAACCAGCAGACCAACCAAGGCCCCGCCCGCGCGCGCGCCGCGTGTCCCCGCCCGCTCGGTC